CAGCACAACTACTGAAGCCCGCACGCCTAGAACCCGTGCTCTGCAACAAGAGAAGCCACCTCAATAAGAAGCCCGCGCACTGCAACGAAGAGTAACCTCCACTCGCCGCAATGAAGAACCAACGCAGCCAAAGATAAAATATAAATACATTTTTTTTTAAAAAAATAGAAAAAGAAAGGGAGAAAGAGAGAAAGAGAAAGAAGGGAGGAAGGAAGGAAGGAAGGAAGGAGGGAAGAAAGAAAGAAAGAAAGAAAGAAAGAAAGAAAGAAAGAAAGAAAGAAAAAGAAAGAAAGGAAAGAAAGGAAGCAGAAAACATTGCTCATAGTAAGGGTTTTTTGGTTGTTTCAGTGAGCACTGGGGATTGAATATATATTTCATACTGAGGGTCATGGTCAAAAATGTTTGAAAGCTGCTGCTCTAAGGTGACCTCTGGAGCCTTGGTGGGAGGGGGAGGGCTGAATTTGAACTTTAGGGCTTGCCTAGACAGGACACAGTGAGCAGGGGACAGAGAAGAATGGACACCTATGTTACATTTTAGTCATTCAACAGATTTATTGAGCATCTACCTATGTGCTAGGCCATATTTAAGACACTGAGGATACAATAGTAAAGAAGAACAAAGTCTACTCTCCAGGACAAATAAAACACATGGATATGTAATATAATGTTGGTAAGTGATAAGAGCTACGAAAAAGACTCACATGTTATAGGAAGGAGGGCTTGACAGAGGTGCTGATCTAGAAAGGATGATGGAGGAGGTCTTTTGAAGGTGTGGCACTGGAAATGTGCCCTAGATAAAGACAGCAAGCAAACTGTGAGAATATCTGGGGAAGGAGCTTTCCATACAGAGGGACAAGCAAGGGCAAAATTTCTTTTTATACCGTGAACTCTGCTCTCTCCCCTCACCAAAGAACGGTACACAATTTACATTCTGAAACGGTGCTACCAGTATATTTACAGATCCTCACACATGATAAAATATTCATTAGCTCCTACTATATGACATAGGTGGGAACATATTTATTTATATTTATTTATTTTGGGCTGCATTGGGTCTTCATTGCTGTGAGTGGGCTTTCTCTAGTTGTGGTGAGCAGGGGCTACTCTTCTTTGCAGTGCGTGGGCTTCTCCTTGCGGTGGCTTCTCTTGTTGCAGAGCATGGGCTCTAGGTGCACAGTCTTCAGTAGTTGCAGCACGTGGGCTCAGTAGTTGTGGCTCACAGGCTCTAGAGCTCAGGCTCAGTAGTTGTGGCTCACGGGCTTAGTTGCTCTGCTGCATGTGAGATCTTCCTGGACCAGGGATCGAACCCCGTGTCCCCTGCATTGGCAGGCAGATTCCTATCCACTGCACCACCAGGGAAGTCCGGAACGTATTTATTTTTTAAAAATTGGGATTATCTGTACATTCTGCTCTATAATCTGACTTTTCACTTGCTTATGACATTTGGATTTGGTCTTTTTTTTTTTTTTAACTTTTTAGTAGTGAACATTTGGAAAAGTCTATTGGAAAGGACAATTCCTGGCCTTTACTCTCCCGCAGGCCTGCTCTTTAATGGCAGACCCAGCCCTTGTCTGCCTGCCTGTCTCTGGTGTCAGGGCTGGAAATCATCTGACTGGGGTCTGCATGGTTTCCAGCAGTGGCAAAAAGACTCTCACACTGTGACTTCTTTTCTCCTGTGATGTATTCACAGCACAACCAGCCTCAGCTGTCACCTTTAAGAAGGACTCGGCAGCCTACCAGTGCAGACAGCCTCAGACCACATGTGGTGAAGTCCAGGCCCCTGAGGCGAGAGAGTCCTCTCTGCTCTGGCCAGAGCAGATCCAGAAGGGACCGGATGAGACCAGATCTTGTCTCCGGAAGGCTCTCAGGACCAGCCCACTTCAGAGGAGAGACAATATCAAACTGGGCAAATCCAGGAGAGAATAACCAGCTCAGGCAGTAAAAAGCCAAAAACTAGGATTATATTTACACAAGGCAGAGTTAGTGGCACTGGTAGTGTTAAGCCGAGGGGATGAAAGGTGTAGGGGAAGGAGTGGGTACGTGAGCTTATGTTGCTTACACCCACAGCGTTCCATCTTGTGTCCTAATCGGCTGTCCATGACTGTCCCCCTCTTTCATTTTTTATTCAGAAATACTCAATGATTAAAAAAAGAAAGAAAAAAAATACAACCAGGGGAAAGAAATCGTAATATCATAGAGGATCACCTCCATCCTTATATGCATCAGTATTTGGAGGGTGAGAAGTGAACGTAATGACCAGAAGTGGTTGTTTAAAAAGAAAAAAAAAAAAAAGGAAGAGAATAAAAAAATACAACCATGCCAAAAATACTCAATGAGCATCTACTATGTGTTAGAACTGCGCTGTCCAATACCATAGCCACTAGCCACATATGGCTACTTAAAGTTAAAATTGAATACAACTTAAAAACCAGTTCTTTAGTTGCACTAGCCACATTTCAGGTGCTCAGTAGCCACAGGTGGCTTGGGGCCAGGTACTGGACAGTGCAGATACAGGGCACTGACATCATCATAGAATGTTTTATTGCAGTGCTGTGCTAGACCCTGGGTTAGACACCAGCAATAGATCCAGGTGTAATCAATCAGTCACTGCCCACACAGAACTCCCAGTCAAGTGAGAAAAACAAGCAAATGAGAAATTATGCTAGGCTGGGGAAAGTGTGTGGTCTTTGTAAGCACAAAGGGAAGATGGCCAACTCAGTCTGGAGGAAGACAGGAATGGTAGGCAAGACTTGAGGGTAGAGAGGGAGATGGCCTGTCAGCTGAGGATAAATAGTTAGGCAGAGATAGGTGAGGGAAGTAAGGAGCCCTAGGCAGAGGGAACAACTATGCAAGGATTCCCAGGTGACAGCTGAAGAGCCAAGGAGCTGCAAGCAGTTTCGACCATTGTAGCATATAGTATGGGTGGTAGAGGTGGAAGATGAGGCTCAAAAGGTATATACCAAACCTTATAGACCTAATGAAGGAATTTGGATATTAGCTATCTGTTGTGTATAAGAAACCATCCCAAAGCTTAGCGGCTTAAAATGGCAACTGTTTGCTCACATTTCTGTGGGTTGGCAAATTGGGCTGGGCTGAGCTCAGCTGGGCTGTTTTTCTGATGGTTACTCCTGGGGTCGCAGTCATCTGATTGCTCAGCTGGGGCTGGATGGTCTAAAATGCCATATGTCTGGCATTCGGTGCTACCTATTGGTTGGGCCGTGTGTCTTAAACAGGCTTGCCTGGGCTTCTTCCCATGGCGGCAGTGTTCTAAGGTGAGAGCAGAAACTACTAGAACTTTTGAGGCTTAAATTCAAAAGTAACACAATGTCACTTCCACCACCTTATATTGGTCAAAAGAAGTTACAAGGCCAGCTCTGATAAGAGAAGCTACAACACATTTGTGGCCATTTAGATCCATTACACGCTGGGGTGATGTTGGCCTGAACCAGGGCGGTGGGTAGAGAGAAGTGGAGAGATTTTTATTTTTAGGATGTTTTGGAGTCAGAATTGAGAGGTCTTGGGGTTTGTTCTGGAACAAAGAGGAGAGGGTGAAGTTACAAATGACTCCTAGATCCTTGGCTTGCGTGACTGATGAATGGTGTGCCCAGTACTCAGAGAGAAAAGAGGAAGGACAGGTTTGGGGGGAAGATAATGTTTCCAGTGTGAGTCATGTCAAGGAAAAGTGTCTTTTAGACAGCTAGGTGGAGATGGGCAGGAAGCAGGTGTATGTGCAGACCTAAGGAGAAGTCTGGCTAGAGATACCAGTTTGGGAGTCTCAGGTACCTTAAGCCTAAAGCATCTTCCAGAGGGGCTGCATCCCCAGAGCATATTACTGGCAGGGATCTGGTAAGTCAACTCTGTGGCTGCACTGAGCCTAGCCCAGGGCAAAGCAATCAGTCTCTCCTGACTGCCAGGTTGTTATTGAGTTTCTAGGGACAGCCCTCAGCTCTGAACTAGATCAATGTTGCAAGTGACAACAGCTCCGATCAGGCGGGAGGTCTTCTAACAACAGGTCACTGACTAATAAAGTAATGAATGCATCAACACTGAGGCAGCATCAACAGGGGCTAGAGGAACCCTGATGGGGAGGCTGTGGAGGGGATTCCCTCTCTGGGTTGGATGATAGACGCCATGGCCAGCCCTGACATTCTATGAAGGTACATTTCCCTCACCATCCCAACCTCCATTCCCACAGACACCTAACTTTCAGAAACTGCACAAGTCGTCATTGAAGGCAGTTCTGCTGGGAGATCAACACTGCAGGAGGCACCTATTAGGGTGTGAAAGAAATGTTGGCTAAGGTCCTTGCCATTCATTCATTCATTCATTTATTCATTTGTTCATTCATTCAACAAACATTCAACAAGCCCTTAGCAAACCCCGTTCTCTGTACTAGGAATACAGAGATGAATAGACTCTAGTCTAGAAGCAATTCGACTGCAACTACAAAAACTTTGTCTTGTAGCTGCTGTCAGTTTCCGGAAATGTCTTCCCATTGGACCTCAAGAAGCACTGCGGGGTCTCTTTGCTATGGTGATGGGCTATAAAGGTTTGATGAACGAAAGAATGAATGGAATTGGGAAATGGGAGACCCGGGGAAGTGTACAAAGAGGGATCTCTGCCCGGGTGGTATCAGGGAAAACGCCAAAGAAATAAAGCAACATCTCTATCTGGATAAAGAATAAGTTAAAAGACGACATTTATTAAGTGCTTTCTCCGTGGCTATTACAGTGATACCCTCTTTCCTTGGATTATTCTCTGGCAGCGCGGTCTTGGGCACATCGATCCTATTCTCTGGAACCTCGTCCACGCACTGTTGCAGTAAGAAGGCAGGGCGGGGCGCTCTCGGCTCGACCCCGGGAGACGTCAGGCGAGAGGAACGGCGATTCGGCGGTCGGCGAGGGCGCCCGGAGGGTTTTCGCCGGAACTCCAGCCCTAGCGACGCGCGCCTTGTTGCTAAGGGCGGAGGCGCGGGAGGCTGTGGACCTTGGAGGCTGCGGATGCCCTCCGGCTCGGCGTCCTCCGTCGGCCTCAGCTTCCAGCCCGACCGGCCGGCCGGAGGGTATGGAGCCCGAGGCGGGAGGAAAAGGCACAGCTGGCGGGAGGGGAGGTGGGAGCCGTCGCTCTCTCTGAGCCGAAGCCTCTTGCCTGACCGAAGAGGGGAGCGGGTTCCCAGGTCCGGCCTTGCGTTGGGTGGCGTTACATCCAGTCTTGGGCAAACACCCCTCCACCCACTCCTACCCCCGACTCCCATCAAAAATAACCTTTGGCCATACGCTTAGAGAGGGCGAGGGGCATTTGTGATCTGAACAGAAAGGAAGAACTGCGCACAGGTTGTCCCCAAAACTTGGGGCAACCTTGGGAGTTCTGACCTAGTACTGATTCCCTGACTGACTTTGGGCAAGACGCTGTTATTCTCTGAGCCTCTGTACCATTAGTGGGTCAAATCAGACCGTTTCCCACTTGCTTCTGGTTTTGTTTCTGTTTGAGCTTTGGTTTAGATTCCTTGGTCTTCCAGAGTGTAGTTTAGATGTGTGCAGAGGGAGATGTGGGGAGAGGGAGGGGGATATGAAATCATCATTTACATGAAACAGTGGACCAGGAGTCCAGCTGAATAAGGTCCAGTACCCCATCTTCGCCCCTGTGTGACCTTTAGCAACTCATGTCTCTGAGTCCCAGTTTCTTCATGGAAAATGACAGGTGGGTATATTCTGGAATATATCAAGGAATGTTGTACTAGAGAGTTAAAAGAGTGTTCTAAGAGTTATGTTTAGAGTGACCACTGAGGGACTTCCCTGGTGGTCCAGTGGTTGGCTCTGAGCTTCCACTGCAGGAGGCACGGGTTGGATCCCTCGTCGGGGAACTAAGATCCCGCATGCGGCGCGGTGCGGCCAAAAAAAAAAGAGTGACCACTGAGTATCTCAAAGCCTTTGAAAAGCAAATTGGGGCAGAAATGGGTCCTGGGATTCAGATTTAGAGATTTAGGCCTGATTCCACCTTGGAACCAACAAGGACATTGAGAGCCATATTGAATTGCAGGGTTTCCCAAGTCCTCTGTAGCCTTTCCAGGCCTGATATCTGGGACAGGGCAGGGTAACCGCCTGAAGGATCTGTTGTTGGAGAGTTGTAAAGCACTTCATGTTGTTGGGTCCTTAAAAAGCTTCTTGCCAAGCAGACTCTCCCACCTTAGTATTTCATTCATTCATTCATTCAAGAGATATTTGCCTTGCTATGCTTAAAGTGCAAGTACAAAAAACGAACAAGACATTATCCCTCCTCTCAAGTATAGTGCATGTTCACAATATAAACCATGGCAGGTAACTGAACAGTGTTTTCATTTCTTAGTCTACTCATAATAAATTACAACATGGACATTATTCAAGTACATATATTTTGTTCTCAAGGTTTTAAATTGCCTTGCTATATAATATCTAACATAATGAACTCTTAGCCTTAGAGTGATCAGTCACTCTGGTCAGGAGACATCACTGGCTTCAGTTTAATATCCTCCAGACCCATTTCCACTTGCATATGTTCTCAGTGTATATTTGTAATGTAAATTTAATATATGTGTATTAAGAGTAGAATTAATGAGTGAAATTGCTGCTTTCAGCATTGCTATCACTGTTAATCTAGTAATCATGCTAGTAGTCATCATTTGTTACTAAGAGTTTGCCAGGTTGAACCAAGAGTTTAAAATGCACTAGCTTTTGCAGAGGTGCAGTATAGTATGCTGGTAGGGAGCAAAGCCTCTGGAGTCTGAATGCCTGGATTCAGGTTTCAGCTCCGGCACTTATTTGCAACTTATTTGTAAACTTAGGCAAGTTACCTAACATCTCTGTACATGACTTTTCTCATCTGCAAAATGAGGATAGTAGCAACATGTATCTAAGAGGCTTGTGGAATAGATTAAACGAGTTAAATATAAAGCGCTTAAACAGTCCTTGGCACATTTTAAGTGCTATTTTTAATCTTCACAGAAGCCCAATGATAGTTATTATCCCATTTTACACATAGGAAACTGAGACTTAGGCTCAGCAACTTTCCCTAGGCCGCAGGATAACTGTAATTCAAACCTAGGCCTCATTTCAAGGCTAATGCACCTAATTAAATATTATTCTGACTACTTTATGCTGCCCTAAATTATTAGAATAAGCCATGCTATCAAACAATAATTAGAATTTATTTGAATTCCTTTTTTAAATAAATTTATGTATTTATTTATTTTTGGCTGCATTGGGTCTTTGTTGCCGCGCATGGGGGGCTTTCTCTAGTTGCAGTGAGCGGGGGCTACTCTTTGTTGCGGTGCGCGGGCCTCATTGCGGGGGCGTCTCTTGTTGCGGAGCACAGGCTCTCTGCTCTCAGAGCGCAGGCTTCAGTAGTTGTGGTTCACAGACTCTAGAGCACAGCCTCAGTAGTTGTGGCACATGGGCTTAGTTGCTCCGCGGCATGTGGGATCGTCCTGGACCAGTGCTCGAACCCTTGTCCCCTTCATTGGCAGGCAGATTCTTAACCACTGCACCACCAGGGAAGCCCCTATTTGAATTCTTAAAATACAGTTGTTGGGACTTCCCTGGTGGTCCAGTAGTTAAGACAACCTGCTTCCAGCACAGGGGGTATGGATTTGATCCCTGGTTGGGGAACTAAGATCCCACATGCCTCGGGGCCAAAAAACCAGAACATAAAAACAGAAGTAATATTGTAACAAATTCAATAAAAACTTTAAAAAAAATGGTCCACATCAAAATAGAGTTGTTAGGGCCTCCCTGGTGGCGCAGTGGTTGGGAGTCTGCCTGCCGATGCGGGGGATACGGGTTCGTGCCCCGGTCCGGGAGGATCCCACATGCCACGGAGCGGCTGGGCCCGTGAGCCATGGCCGCTGAGCTTGCGCGTCCGGC